ACAACAACAATGACAACAACAACAATGACAACAACAACAATGACAACAACAACAATGACCGTGCATCACAATGTAATCTTGCACATAATCAAATATAATGATAGGTAATAACAGATAATAAAACAACTGGTGTATTATGTACTTACATCGTTTCCAGGGAAGCCAGCACGTCCTGATGTTCCTTGAGGACCTTCGGGTCCCTAGGGGTAAAGGCAACACAATATACAACTGTTTACTATCATCTTCTATACAACAATTTWATTTCGCTGATTGGCTATTTCAGCGTTCTTTTCGTTGAATGTTTTGTTATCAATAAAAATTAGAAGTTCTTATCGTTTTTGTTTTGGTAAAAATAACAAAAACAACGACAGCTATGGTTCGTTGATCCACGCTACTTATCGTCAATAAGAGGACAGACACATAAAAACTGATTTCAATGTGTTAAGTAGACGGTAATGCACTGGAATAGCTTACTGTTGCTCCTGCTGGTCCGTCGTTGCCATCTCTGCCGCTTTCACCAGTATCTCCCTACGATAAACATAGTATTAATTAACCTTTAAGAGAGAGAAACCCAAGGATAGGATACCAAAAACTACTCACTCTGGGTCCCTGAGCTCCTCGAGGTCCGGGTGGTCCTTGGCTTCCAGGAGCTCCCTATAGAAAAAACCAGTTAACAGACGACTCATCTCTGTATATCATGCAATAATGCGTGGTACTTACAGGTTGTCCAGGCTCTCCTCGGTTACCCGGCTCACCAGTGCTTCCACGGTCACCCTACAGCAAAACAATTTTTTTCAAACATGTTCTAATATGTTATAAAAACAACCAGAAGCACGATAAACCGACTTACCGCTCTTCCTTGTTCTCCTCTTCGTCCTCGGATGCCGTCCTTTCCATCTCTTCCCTAGTGCAAAGATGATATACATAATCAGTTTGATTCAATGGGATATGGAGGGGGCAACAATCACTAGTTACGTCATCAGCTAACTAAACTGATATGTGGCTATCAACTGTTTCGGTTCAGGAACTTCTTTACGCAATGTCCGTGCCAACATCACAATGCCCGTAGTTATTGGCTATGCTGTTGTGGTGTCCCTGCGCTCACAGGAGAAACTAAATAAATAAAAGAAGCAAGTACCGGTTTATGCAATTTACTTACGCTTTGTCCAGGAATACCTCGTTTACCGTTGAGGCCATTAGCACCTGGGTCACCCTGCAGAAGTATTCACAAACGATTTAGCATTATTGAGAAGGGCACGAGTTAATTCACTATCACCGGCACACTCAGTATATTACAGTCTTGCCTCAAGAGGAAGTGGTTATATTTTACCTTTTCTCCGTCTAAACCACGCTCACCATCAGGACCTTGAGGTCCTTGTGGTCCCTGCAAACAACATATGTGTATTCAACGAAAATTAATATATGATGGAGGGGAGGGGAGGGGGGGGGTACGGTAAATTAATTCCATGGATCCCGAGAGGGCAGAAGACACTGGGAAGAAAGAGTTCCTATCATCATTGTTACAACAAGTATTACAACAAGTATTCCTCTGTTAATAAGAATGAAAGAACTGCTAAATAACAGATGATTGATAGCCATAAACGTACGGGTAATCCAGTAGGTCCAGGATTTCCAGGTTCACCAGCAAGACCAGGTGATCCCTAAAACAACAACAATATCATTCAACAACGTAATACAAATCTACTGAAGTAAAATAAAAATGTAACATTAATGAATGAAATATCCCTTCTTGACCGAAACGAATGCAGGGTAGACGAGGCGCTAATCAGAGACTGGGCAAATAACCTTATGCACAGACAATTTTTCATTTATTACTATTTTTTTAAATATATTTTATCTTTCTCTCCTTTCGAAGCACTGGCAACCTTTCTAGAAAGCTACTTGATCTTTTGTACAGCCATGCGTTAGTTTACCGACAAGAACTCCTAACCTACTTGGAGTTCTCAGTATCGTCTACCCAAAAACGTTGGCCAGTCCCAGCACGATAATAGTTTCTGCTCATTTCTAACGAGGGCTATTCAGCATAGAGGGTATACATACCATTGAACCAATGAGACCAGAAGCACCCTTCAATCCTTGCTCGCCACGAGGTCCCTGTGAAAGGATAATACATGAGTCAATACTATAAGTCATGCCTTGATGTACGTACTTGTGAGTCAATGGTACATGTCTTACAGCATTTTCTCAACTTCCTCATGGAGAAGACCATGCTATTTGAACAGAGTACTAAACTACACAAACTTTGTAACTTACTCGAGGTCCAGACTCTCCCTGYTCACCATCCTCACCAGGATCTCCTAGAATTCCCTATGAAACACAACATGTCGGTATATATRTCATCAGACGCCAATATCATTACCAATATCACATCACATGTACTAATAACATCCGCGATATACTTACAGGTTCGCCGATTTCTCCAACAGGTCCAGGACGACCAATGTTACCAGCTGGACCCTGAAAAAGTCAAAGATTTTATAAATATGTTATAAACATTATCATTAATTTAAAAGAAACGTATGGGTGACCAAGACATAGATCGATACCTGATTGCCGTTATCTCCAGGTCGGCCAGGTGGGCCAGGAGGTCCACGAATACCCTAAAATACAGATACAAAATGTTAATCAAATTCATATTGGGCGTATAATACTAAATTAAGCCATAGAAAAACCTTGCGTATGCGTAACACTTACAGTCAAACCAGCTTGGCCTGGAACACCGGGCAAACCAGCATTTCCTGGTGTACCCTAGTGTTAAACAATAAAACATAAATTAGCAGGAAAAACATAAAAGATGGTTAATTAACGCAACTAAATATTCAAAATAAAACATACCCGTAATCCACGTGGACCGACAGGTCCAGGTTTTCCAGGGGTACCGGCAAAACCCTAGGCAAAATATCAACAAATCCTCAACATATATATGTAATTTTAGTAAGTGCTATCATAATGTTTAATTCATAGAGATGTTTATTATATGTACTTACGCGTTTCCCATCACTACCAGGATGTCCACGAGGTCCAGTTGGTCCAGGATCGCCCTGCAAAACAACGTTAATGGATCATTTGACTAAGCAAGCTTGGTTTTCCGTTTTATAATGTTACATATTCCTACTTACAACATCGCCCTTGGGTCCTGAAGGACCGGGCTGTCCTGGTCTGCCTGGGTTACCCTAAAAAAAAAAAACAGATGAAAAACTTGTTAGCTAAACAAGCCGCAGTCAAGTCGTGTGAGATATATAGTAGGTAGTAAACTAGAATGGTAAAGTGACCTTACCACTGCACCAGCAGATCCGGTGGGTCCAGGTGATCCTTGTTCACCGCGGTCACCCTAAAATATTAATAAATCACTTACGATTAGCAATATATCCCATGGATAAGGATATCTGTGGACGTTTATTCTTACCGGTGTACCATCAACTCCTGGTTCTCCTTGCTTGCCTTTCTCGCCAGGTTTGCCCTAAACAAGCAGGGAATGTGTTAAGCACAGCGTAATAAAGCCAAAGTAACATCGTCAGACATTTTCCTTACATTTAATCCAGAAGGTCCTCTTTCACCTTGGGGTCCAGGGACACCCTATAAAAGAAATAGAAAACAAAATAAATATCGTAAAGGATAGCCAAGGAACACGAGAAGACACGAACAACATGCAACATTGGAGCACTCACCGCTTGTCCGTTTAGTCCGTCTTGGCCTCTCTCACCAACGGCTCCCTAAAATAAAAGTCAAAAGGTTACCTACCTATACCTATTGGGAAGAAATGAAAATGCTACACACTGTAATATTACTAGGCAGACCAAAAGGCAATGTGTAAAGCCATTGATTGAAAAGCACTGACAAAAATCCATGTAGGTTGGTGTTTATATATAAGAAGAGCAACAGCAGCAACCACATTCATGACAACTTACTCGTTTTCCATCTGGTCCAGGTGGTCCGGCTGGGCCTGGCTCTCCTTGGGGTCCCTAAAGTAATGACAAATGACGATTTGTTTATACCCATACATTATTAAACAAAGTGCAGAGTGATTATACTTACAGCAAGGCCTGTCGCTCCGGTTGGTCCCGGTTCTCCACGTTGTCCGGATGCTCCCTACAAAAATTATAAGCGAGATTAATAACTGTTTATTTATTTATATATTTATTGGTTATTATGAGCTCTGTCTCGACATTTAGTAAAAAACGACATTTTAGTACTATTCAAATGAAGACTCACATCTCGTCCTGGTGTTCCGGGATCACCTAATGCTCCAAAGGCACCACGGGCTCCCTGTGCATTGATATAAAATAGATATTAGTATGACATGCGCAGATGTATTCAGTATCGTGGGAAGATACACTTACAGGAGCTCCACGTGGTCCCTGAGGGCCGGCATTTCCTGCTACACCGGGTGCTCCTTGTTCTCCTTTCTGTCCACTTGTACCCATTACACCGGAGATTCCGGGTGGGCCCTGCAAAAAAAAAAAAAAAAAAAAAAAACCATTATGTATTTAAACAAGACTATATGTGTTAATGATAACTTTCAAGTCTGCCATTACAATAACACTCTACAATGACGTACTTGGTTGCGAACGAATACTTACTGATGGTCCAGGAGCACCATTTTCGCCATTTTTCCCGGGTTCTCCCTATAATCCAACACATTTATCAGACATTTAGAAACTTACTATCTAGGCTTATACTTAATTTTTTTGTTAAGTCCATTGCACATCACCAAGTTGTGCTCTTAACTTCCAGCCAGCAAGCATTTCTCGAATGCTGCATTTGTCATATTGTTATTCTTGGAACAAATGTAATTGTGTATCTTGTTTGAGTTCTTTACCAAGGTTTGTTTATCAAATGGTACTCGACGTTTATGTTTTGCATTCAGTAGGAAGACTATCTTTTAGAAAAAGAAGTAAATAATGGTATAAAACGACGCCGTACCTTTGCTCCATCTTTACCCTCGGCTCCCGACTGGCCACTTGTTCCAGGAGGTCCCTATAAAAGAAATGTATGTTATCATCAAGGAGGTAATTGATAATAAGATATAGAAGACTTGGATATACTTACCCTAGGTCCGGGAATACCATCTTCTCCGGGAATGCCATCTGGGCCTCGGTCTCCCTTGACTCCATCAGGTCCTGTCTCTCCTCTCTCCCCAACGTCTCCCTAAACATTTACGATAAATAAGCAATATATATGTAAATAGCAGATATATATATGAAAAGTAGAGAATATGTGGACCGCATGGCACTAATGAGAGAGCATCGGTAGTACAATTCCGAAGGTCGTGGGTTCGATTCCCAGCGAGGTTGGAAATTAATTTTTCCGAATTTAATTCCAAGGGCTTTCGCCCCGAATAACCTCGTTCCCAAGCACTATAACTTATCTATATTTCTATATCTTCATATATGAAAATTAGTGTACTCACGTCAAGTCCAGTGTTTCCTGATGCGCCAGTAGGACCACGTGGACCGACAGATCCCTGTTTAAATGTGACACACACAAAAATTAGTTAATAAAACTTCTAGACATTCAAACATGATAAGATGTTTCTCACCGTTGGTCCAACGGATCCTGGGGTTCCTTGGTTGCCTACTTTACCGCGTCGGCCCTATCAAATAAATATTTGCTGTTAGCATCATCATCATCATCATTATCATCATGAATGATGTTTTAAAAGTTCTCAAGGGTCGTCCAATTACTTTCAAAACATCTTTCGTACTTATTTTTTTGTTTTACTATTCTAGTATTTTGAAAAACACAAAAACATGAGCAAACAGCACATCTGTGCGAGTGCCCATAATAGGGCGCGGGGATTCTTCTCTTAGTTCATTTTTTCTTGCTCGTACCTATGATCAATTCCTGATTGTTCGAGAAGATCTATACTTGATAAATTATGATTGTTCAGTATCAAATATGTAAAAAGTATTGAACTATCAATAATATCCTCCAGCTTAAATGTTTGTTATAGATGTTCATGCTAATATATACAGTAGGTTACTCACTGGTCGGCCAGCTTGACCCTGTGGTCCTTGCAAGCCTCTTCGTCCTTGATCTCCCTAAACAAATATGAAAAATGAGAAAAATAACCTTTCTCTCCCATACACCCGACTAATGTACAACTGACTTACTCTGTCACCATTCCTCTCTCTATCCCATACACCCGATTAATGTACAACTGACTTACTCTGTCACCATTCCTCT